AAATAGATATCCACCATGGACTGGACATTCAGTGGATATTGGGATGTTCAGTAGATATCCAAAGGATTTGGTGTGCTGTCTGGGTTTGAGGTTTAATTTACTTAATTTTTTCAAAGGCAACATATTTTAGCATACAATTCCTTATAAATTTGCCTGTTCAACAATACCAACATGTTAGAGAATAACACCCTGCAGGTAGTTATACATATTTGATTGTTTTCAGGTTGTCAAATAATTTTAATTGACTTCATTTCATTTGCTATGTTATATGTAGGGTGTATCAAAGCGCGAGGTTGCGATTTTTTTAATTGTTTCAATGGAATTCACTGTATTAATTAATTGGTGGTATAACATAGAGAGTATCACATTTAAAAAATTGAGAAAATCGTAACCTCAAATTTTGACACATTCTATATACAACATATCAAATGAATCAAATTGAAAATATTGTTCGACGATGTAAAAACAATCAAATATGTATAACAACCTGCAGGGTGTTTTGCTTTAAAAATGCACACTGCATATTTATGAATAATTGTTAAATATGGTCATACAACTTTTATATTATTTTTTTTTTTCGTATTTCCTATTATAAAACTCATGTGTTATTGACTATCATATTGGTATCGTTGGATATGTAAATTTATAAGGAATTGTATGTTTAAATAACATACAGCGTGTGGCATTTGAAAAAATTAAATAAATTTAACTTGGAATTAGCCATATTTAAGACTTGTTTTTCAAAACACTCTGTATAAAATAATCCAGTTCTATCACCACTATTCGTTAGCTTAGTATCTTATTACTATTTTTTTAAATTAAATTATAATTTAATTTAGGGTCTGCATCATTCTCTAATTTCATAAAAAAATTAATTTATTGGCAACCCTGCAATATTTGTTAATAAAGTTCTAGGGTTAAATGCAGTATTACAGCATTGCATGCAGCATTCTAAAACTGAAGTAAAATACAGGGTTTTTTATTTAAAAAATATACCTTTTTATTTGTCAGACAAAAACGCAAAACACTGTATGTCTAAAAATATCTTTAAAATACCCATTTTTGAAATTCATATAACTTTTTATTTAGAAATTATTTACGTGTCCATAACACAAATTGAAATATTGAACAATTACGCACTAATGTATGTCCAGGGCCGACTAGAGGGGGGGGGGGGTAGCCGGGACTAATTCCCGGGGCCCGGGCTTAAATGGGGGCCCGGCAAAGTTTTTTTTGTTCTGCATGAGAAATTCGACACAAGATGAGAGAGGGAAGTTAAGTTTAAATTAATTAAAAGTTTTAGCCTAGAGAAGTTTTATTCGGGTGAGGACTTTTTTTTTGTTTAGAAGAAGAAGTAATTGAAAGGGATAATAGTTTTTGATGTAAAGACCTTTTAAATTCTATTTCAGTAGAAGAGGAACAGTTTTTGGTTAAAGATTTTTTTGTCACATGGCCCGATCTAGCGAATTGTCCTGGGGCCCGGCCTGGCTCTCGGCGGCCCTGTGTATGTCCTGAATATATTATTAACAATATATGCACGCCACATATGTTTGTAATAGTGATTTAAACCGCGACTTATTTTGAATTGTAATATCCTTTCTTGTATAGACTTACTTTTAACTGACCATTAGTTACTGTGTAAAATCACACATCATAATAATAAATACTTATCTTGGTTTATTTCTTTTTTCTTATGTTTGTGTTTGACGTAAAAAGTTATTTAAATATCGGAAAAGTATTTAATTACTAGAAATGTATTTAAATACCGGAAAAGTATTTAAATAAATAACAGAAAAGTATTTAAATACCAGAAAATCATTTAAATTCTTAAAAAGTATTTGGAATATTTTGAAAATGTATTTAAATACTAAATACTTACGAATGTATTTGCAACTGCAAGCTTTTTAATTTGTATAGTTTTCAAATTTATTAGAAAATAAAATTAAAGGCAATTAAACTCTTACCTTAATATCCTTCAAGATATTAAATGATCAGATCAGTGGATTGTATTCATTTATAAAATGATTACAGTTTTAAAAAAGACTGTTAAATTTGGACTTGATGGGGATTGAAATTATTGTACAATTTTGATAAAAATTATATTTTATAACAAACGCATTATCATAAGAATTACATGCAAATATAAACAAGTTATTAACTTAATTATTATTTAACATAGAGCCAACTTAAAGATACATAATTTTAAAGTTTTGTATGATGTTAAATTCTGACTGCATTTACACATAGTTTATATAGAAAATTAGCACCAGGGACAGATGAGCCTATTGGGAGATTTACCAGCCAATCCAGTTCTGTCTTCTTAAAAATTTTGTTAGTTTCCCTATCAATTAATGACTATGCTGCAAACTAATGATTTCCTTTGGTACATACAGATATTGAGTTCTTTAGCTGGTACAGTAATGAAATAAGTAAAAATGATTATCGCACATATCAAAGTAAGTATATAACTATGTAAATAATATTCCCTGACAGCTCTAGCTAATATGTTAACAATTAAATTTCATCTTCATTTAAAAGCATATTAGGAATACCATTGTTGATGGGAAATTTTCTTCCTGTTTCTGGACATATCAAATCTCCATTCACAATATCGACTTCTAAAAGAATATGATGAACTTTTTTAAGAAAATCTTGATCATTTTCGAAATTCTCGAGTATTTGTTTTGGTAAATTTTCCACTTTTCCTATACTTTCGGCTGCATTATACAAAACAGTCCAATCCAATTTTGGAATCATTTTAGAAACAAATTCTGGATTAAAGTCTACTTCAGCAACTTCTATAGATGAGGCCTAAAAATTTATCAAAAGTTGTATGAATAGCAGTTATTTATCAAAACTGAAAATCAGAACTATCACAAACAAAAAATATAACATAACTGAAGTATATTAGGCTATCAAAACATGTGTTTAGATATGTATATAATGATTCTTGGAACCTTAAAATTTTGATTGATAACTTTAACTTACATTTAATTTTAGTGGATATCCAACACTTACTCCTTTCATGCACTTGGAAGTAAGCATATTATGAGTGAGCAACTTCATTTTATTTATAAGATTATAAGTTCCTTTTTAGCTTTTATAGCAAATAAACAATAAATAAAGGATAATGTTTATGTGTGGTAAACGTAACCTCAAAATATTCAAAACTCAAAATGTCAAATGACTGCGTTTTTCGATTCGGTTCTACGATATTTCGTGCTAGAATTCTGAATGAGATTGTTCTGTGACGACCCAATATTGTAATCACGATCGTTTGTGAATATGGCGGAAAGTATTTCCGTGCGAACTCAAGACGTAACGAATCAGAGAGAGAGAGATATTACATAAGAATCGCATTTAATGAAACGAAGATAGTCGTATCCTAAACGAACTTGGAATCGCGATGGTATCTAATTTTGACAGAATATGGCGACAAGTGTTTCCGGTCTACCAGTGACGTACTGTCATAAAGGGGTGTAGAAAAGAAAATAATAAATTCTCATTTGCATATTATCTTTATTAACTTCATTATGTGAATAAATTTTACTTTAAAATTGCATGTTGGGTGGGATAAATATAGGAAAATATTTTTGGGATAATTTATAGAGGGAATTCATTTGAAAAATCAAAGCAATAATGAATTAATAAAAAAAATATACTCTTTTACTTCTTTATTATGACAATGTCTTTATTAATCTACATTTTACAAATTATTAAGGTTTGAAAAATAAATATGTTTTGTAGATATGCGTTAAAAAAATTAATTGAACATCCTATACTTATTTTTAGCTGTGATATTTCTTTCTTAGATATTTTTGTTGGAGTACATATAAAACTTCCTAATATCGAAGAGAATTTCTGATCGTTTTATTACATAATATTATTAGTAATATTTTTTGCAGGACAATTTTGCATAAGCAGGTAAAACACCTTTCCTAGAAAGGATCCTATCACGTAATAATGATTCTGTGAGTGCAAAATAGATTATTTTTAAATGTACATTCAGCGCATTATTTGTATGCCTAGTCCAGTTATGATGAGAGTCAATTTGTACTCTAAAGTATTTGATATAATTTGTAATACTTATATGAAACTACTGAACGTTACCTTTTATTGTTTCTATATAGGAAGAGGCTATCTTTTTGTAACTGTATAATGGAATAACATAAGTTTTATCAAAGGTTTGTAAGTTTTTATAATTAAACCATTTGAAAATTTTTATAAGATCTGTTTCTATTAATAATTTTAATCAATTTCAGTTCTCTGCATTTTACAGAATAACTGTGTCGTCTAAAAAACTTACAATATTTCCATCTGTATTTAAACGACAAATTATTTAAAATAAAATTATAAACAAGATAGGACCTAAGACAGTATCTTGAGGCATGCGATTATCCACTATTTTTACGTGTTGCAGAGCGGCTTTTCCAATTGATGTTTTCGTCAATAACTAACCCAATAAACTTCATACCTATCCTTAATTTACATTTAGTTTACGTATATTTTATGAAATTTTAAAAACCTTAATTGCATATTACCTATACCTAAGTTTTTATAAATTATAAACGCGATATTTAAAATAACTGTGCATTGATTTAAAAATAACATTTTATCAATAAAATCGGGAAATCATTCAACTGAGCTGTGATTAGATATTTTTAAGAAAGGAAAAGTAAACTTAATTTGGTTGCACATATTATATACATGTTCTTCTGACAAATATATTGTAGTGATACATTTATACCTATATTATGTAAGTATAGTATTATATTTACAAAAATAAACTCTCAAAAATATATTTTTTTATAAAACAAATCAAATATTCACATAATATAGTTGTTTAAATATATCTATAAAAAATTATATAACTTATAGATATCCCAAAATAATAATCTTCACGCACAAATACTCTGAAAATAAAGATAAACTTAAAACGATATCAACTGGGTGGTTTTTAACATTTTTTTACGATTTAAAACGTGAACTCTGACCCATAATTCTGATTTCTTCATAAATAAAATCACTCATCTCGAATTCTTTATAATAACCTTTGACTATAGCTAGTCTTATCTACGAAGTGAACAACAACAATGAAAATTAATAGGCACCTGTCTTTTTATCGGCCCAGTTCAATAGTGTTATCCAAAAAAGAAGTTTCATAGGTTTCATATAGTGCAAGTCAGCATCGACAACAAACAAGATAATTTTCAATAGATAAATAAAAGGTAGGTTTAAAAAAAAACGTTTTTCTTTATATATTTATACGAATAAAACTTGTTTACATTTCTTGTTTGTAGAAATCGAGTATTCTCTTTAATAAGCAAAAGTAAATATTTTTGAAACCTATAGAATTAATTTTAATTTATTCTAAAAGATAATTGTTAGGTAATTTTTATTCACAAAAGCTTGCAACAAATAAATCAATTTATTTTACTCAAAAAGTGTTTATTTTCCAATGAATAATATTTTTAGCTAAAAGTGGGAAAATTGTAATTATTTGATAAAATTTCTAGGTGATAAAAATTGTATTTATTGGAAAATAATAACTCTAAACCCATTTTTAAGTAAAGGTAATTATGTACCTAACTTTTTACTTTCCTATCTGTATACAGATATAAGGAAAGTATAGGAATCATGATTTTTTTTCGACCTCGAGTTTTCGACGGATTTTTACGTTTTGAGGTCCCCTGAATCCGTTTTGACTATTTTCGCGATGATGTCTGTGTGTGTGTGTGTGTGTGTGTGTGTGTGTGTGTGTGTGTGTGTGTGTGTGTGTGTGTGTGTGTGTGTGTGTGTGTGTGTGTGTGTGTGTGTGTGTGTGTGTATAACGCATAACTCATGAACCGATACACGGAAAAAAAACAAATTTCAAACTTAAGCTTTGTTTCAGCGTCTAATGAGCTGATTAGATTTTGGGCAGAGTCGGAACATCTGGGGGGGTACTTTATAGGTGGTCATTTTTATATTTTATGGAATATATCTGTTATTTACGTTTGAGGAAGAAAATTTTTCAAATGAAAGTTACTTCCTATTTTATTATCTATAATTTTTGTTATATACAAAATTTTCCTAAAATGGTCCGTATTCGCGAAATTTGACAAAATGTAAAAAAATATTTTTTTTTATAAAAATTGTTTTAACAAAAGTTGTTTGTAATATAATTCTCTATAATTTTTATCCTATAGATAATTTCTCTAAAATGGACCGTATTCGAGATATTTGAGAAAATGTGTAAATTTCGAAATTTGAAGAAAACTCAAAAACGGATAAAGAAAAAAACATTAAATTTTAAACTTAAGTTTTATTACGTCCTGACGTGAAATGATTAGATTTTGGACAAAGTCGGAACATCTGGGGGGGTACTTTATGGGAGGCCGTTTTTATATTTTATGGAATATATCTGTTATTTATGTTTGGAGAAAAAAATTGTTCAAATAAAAGTTACTTCTAATATTATTATCTATAATTTTTGCGTTATGTAACAATTTCCTGAAATGGTCCGTATTCGAAAAATTTGACAAAATGTGCAAAATTCTGATTTTTATGAAAATTGTTGAAATAAAAGTTGTTTGCGATATCGATCTCTATAATATTTGTTCATACATGATTTTTTTAAAATGGACCGTAATGGAAAAATTGTAGGAAAAGTGCTAAATTTAAATTTTTCATTATTTTCATTTTCAATGAATATCTATAGAAAAATGTTTCGCTGTAGATGTATGTGGACAATGTATATATTTAGTTTTAAACATTTATAGAGATGCTGCAATAGGTTGTACAAAATAACCGGAAAAAGCCTGTAATAACTAGATAGGAAAGTCATGTGTTGGACACATCAGATTTTTTAATAATTTAAAGTGTATTATTAAGTATATTATACCCAATTTTTAATTATTTCTATACCTATCTAAAAAATCGTTATTAAAACAATTAAATGTTGATCTACTCGAAAGTTTGTGAAAATTCAATTTGTGATTTTAGTGTCTTTGTAATTTCAAATTAAGTAGAAAAAAATTGTTGGTTGGTGAATGATGATAAAGTTCCTTTTTCTTTTAACGGATCAAAATAATCTTAGTACTTATTCTGGACAAAGTCGAATTGTCTCCCATCAAAGGTCGAGTTGTCACCCAAGCTAATGTATATTAAAAGGTATTAATTTTCACAAATTATACAGTTGTTGCCAAATCAAAATTTTTATTTTTAACAGTACGTTGAACTATTGATACTTTTTTCTTTTTGTAAAATATCTTAGGGTATAGGAACCATCTACGTTAAAAGTTATATAGAATTCACCGAAGATGCCAAACTTGTTTAAAAAAAATAAATTAGTAAATATACCAGGAATTCAAATTGCATCTGACCAAACTAAGACGTAACAGCAATATTTTAAGAAAATTAAGTCTACACTAGATGATTTTATTACTCAGGGTAATAATTCAAAAACGATAAAGTTTATAATTACTATTGTTAATGAAGATATAACACCAAAACAAAAAACTAACGAAGGACCCTAATATTCCGTTTAATATTGATATACTCTACTTAACTGCCCAAAGTTTACTTAACAAAATCGATGAAATTCAAATACGTTTATTATGTTATTGTCCTAAGATAATTTTTTATAATTGAAGCAAGAATTACCAAGGAAATTGAAGAATCTGAAATTAAAATCGTTGGGTATAATCTGGGTAGCTATTCTTGAATTCGAGGGAGTAGAAAACCGGTTTCTCCTCTTTATCTACAACACACAAAATTTGTATTTTTGTCTCATTCTTCCCTCAAAATTTCTACTCCCTGAGATTCAAGAATAGATACCCAGATCAGATGTAATTCCTCAAACCGAAGCACAGGGGGGTCATAATTTATGTGAAGGATAATTTAAAATTCTCTGTTGCTAAGACCTTTCTGCTCGAGCCATATTATTGGTTCAAAGTAATAAAACTTGATCTTAGTGATTATCAGTGATTAATGGGTTGTTTCTACCATTCACCATCAAGTTCTGATGCTGTATTTTTAAACAGTTTGGAAAATATATGTGATTCTATTTTTGCTAATAATCAACGCTGTTTGTACATTGGTGATTTTAACTTTGATTATACAAATGTTTTTATTGTTATAAAATTAAAGCAATGATTTTACAATATGGAATTGACCAATTAATCACTGAGTCTACACAAATTACAAATAATAGTAAAACTTTGATAGATTATGTTAATAATATGTTAATAATAATTTTGTTAATGCTACAGTTCATCATACTCCGAAAATTAGTGACCATTCTATAATATTTGTTAATCTTAGTAATAACAACAAAGACATAAATATAACCACTAACATGTATAGAAACTTTAGTAAAACTAACTTAGGTGAAATTATATTCGACTTAATATCATGTAATTGGAACTTAAATTCTACTGATATAAATACTATACAGGGTGTTATTGAAATACACGTACATATTAAAACTGGGTATTGCGCAGATCCCCACTGAATGTAGAAAAATATTATTTTTTAAAAATACCCCTTATTAAGGGAGTTATTAATTTTTGAAAATTAATTCTAAAACAAACGTACTTCACTGATATGTTGAGGATGACCTATATAAATTAGGTTTATTTACCTATTTTAAACATCAACAGTAATTAATATGCAAGTTTTTGTCAGATAATAAGAAAACTAGTCTTGTAAGAAATAACCATGTTGCCAAGATTTTCGAATTAATTTCTATTTCCGAAGACTGGTTTTTACTACCCTCGTTATCAAAAAACTAGAATATTTGATAAATGATTGTTTTTAAACTATACATTTTTGAAACTATAGATTATTAAAATTTTAGTTGATTTACGAATCTGGCTAACACGAGCGCGTCATTTCCAAGTTGGTAAAAAGTGTTGTTACGATTACTTTTAAATATTTTTTTACGATGCCACTATTTATGAATATTGAACTAACGGATATAGTGCTGGTTTATGGGGCAGCTGGAGAAAATTCTCGGCAAGCACAAATCCTGTATCGCGAACGGTTTCCAAATCGGAGAATTCCGGACTGTCGTACGTTTATTTCAACTGTTCAGCATCTAAGAGACCATGGAAAATTTGAGAGTGTCAATGCAGATCGAGGGAGAACAAGAACACAAAGAACATTGGCGGCCGAAGAAGAAATATTGGAAGCTGTTGAAAACCGGCCTCAATTAAGTTGTAGAAGACTAGGTCTTGAAATTGGAGTGTCCTCATTTGTTGTGTGGCGGACACTTAAAGAACAAGGTTTACATCCTTATCACATCCAAAAAGTCCAGGCCTTATATCCAGGTGATGAAGAAAAGAGAGTGGAGTTTTGTGAATGGATGATTCAAAAATGTGTTGATATTCCTGATTTTCTAAAAATATTATTGTATACTGACGAGGCTTCATTCACTCGTGATGGCGTGTTCAATATGCACAATACGCATATTTGGAGTGATGAAAATCCTCACGCCATTAGGGAAACTGGGCATCAAAGAAAATTTTCAATAAATGTTTGGGCTGGCATAATAGATCAGTATTTAATCGGGCCTTATGTTCTCCCGAACAGATTAAATGGGCCAGGATATCTCCACTTTTTAGAAGATATTTTGCCAGTACTCCTAGAAGAGATACCGTTACAATTAAGGCAACGGATGTGGTACCTACTAGATGGCGCTCCTCCTCACTTTGATTTAAACGTACGGCAGTTTTTGAACATTAGATTTCCTCAAAAGTGGATAGGCAGAAATGGACCTACTAAGTGGCCTCCGAGATCTCCGGACTTAAATCCATGCGATTTCTTTTTGTGGGGTCACATGAAACAACTGGTTTATAATGAACCTATTAATAGTGTTGAACAATTAACCAATAAAGTTAATGCGGTAGCCGAGGAACTACGACAAAATCCAAGACTAATTTCTAATGTTCAAAGTTCTTTGGAAAGACGATTGCAAGTGTGTGTAAATAATAATGGACGGCATTTTGAACAATTACTGTAATAAACTTTATTTTGAATTAATTGGTTTTGCTACGGCAACAGTGCAATTTCTATGGGTAAGTTCAATTTCGATTTATTTTACTTCTTTAAATATGGAAACTAGTAGGTCGGAAAAGGGGACTCTTCCCCAATATTTAAATTTTAGAATTTGAAGTTAAAATTGTTGCCAATCGTTTTTGGTCATTACATACTATTCCCCATTTTAATATGTACGTGTATTTCAATAACACCCTGTATACGATGAACTTTATAAGAACTGTCAAACTTTGCCACCTATAGAAAAAGTGCTTGAATCAGTTGTATATGAACAAACTCTTCAACATATTGAACACAATTATATTTTATTTATTAACCAATCTGGATTCCGCAAAAAACATACACTTGTGAAGCAGATTTAAAACGGAGGTAAACAATAATAACTATGTAGTAGCAGTTTTTCTAGACTTAAAGAGAACATTTGAAACAATAGATCGCAATATTATCTTAAAGAAACTTACTGGATATGGCATTCGGTCTAAAACATTTGGGCGCGACCGTTTGGGCGCAGCTGTTTGGGCGCGGAGACATTTGGGCGCGGGGACATTCGGGCGCGAGCTATTTGGGCGCGGGGATATTTAGTCGCGAGGAAATTAAACATATATTATTACGAGTACTATAACTGTTTTATTTTCTAAAATAAAATATATACAATTTTATAGAAACTAAATTTTAAGCAGTCATTTTGTAATTGTATGAAATTCCTCTTAAAAATTCAATAATATTCCTATTATTTGCGCCATGATCATTATTGTAATCTTCAATCATTTTTTTTATTCTTTTATCAGCCTGGATAAAGTTTTGTTTTTTAGGTGTAGGCTCATTTCCCGCAAGTAAGTGCTCATAAGCAACATCTCAAGTTTGAATGAAATCTGTTAAAATTATTAGAATAAAATGGTTTTTGTAATCGTTGTGGTGATTGCCTTTGCTAAGGTTTCAAACATTTACTTCTGATGTGTCTATAATTTTGGAAATCTGAAAAAATTACCTTTTTGGGAACTATAGAGAAACTTTTCTTCGACTACAAATGTCATTGCTTGTTCTAAACTCTCTGGGTTTCGTAAATGAACATCATTTTGTAGTTCATTCTTAGGGACGATACTACAGATGACTTTCCCAATTGGAAAAAACTTGCTTACCTTTATCTGAAACAAAGAAAAATACAAAATTAGATGAAAAGAAATTTTTAAATCCTATTAAAAACGAAAACTGATTCAAACGTCTTAATTAAATTTACGGAAGTCACCAAAGGTAAATTTTTTTGTTCTAAATCTAAGTTTTAAACCATTGTAAAGGAGAACCCCGTATGCCTTAAATTTGTAACTTATTAATTAAAATATCATGATTTACACAATCGAAGGCCTTTGCGAAGTCACAAAATACTGAAGCGGTGAAAAGTTTATCATTAAGTGATGTGTATATTTCATTAAGAACGGAAAACATTGCGTCGCTAGTGCATTTTTTAGGTAGAAAGCCATACTGATGAGCTGTGAGGATGTTATGCTTGAAAAGAAAGGGCAAAAGACGGTTTTTCATTAGCCGTTCTACTATCTTCGATAAGGTAGGCAATAACGCGATAGGTCTATAGTTACAGGTTTTGGTTTTGTCGCCACCTTTATGAAGTGGGATTATTATAGCTGTTTTTAGACAGTTAGGAAAGAGACCAATTTCAAAGGATTCATTAATCAGTGAAGTTAAAATGTTGATTACTACATCCGGTATATTTAGAAATATTTTGGTGGACAGGCCATCAATTCCACAGGAAAATTTATTTTGGATGTTGTTTATGGTTTGCACTAGTTCATGCTTGTCTACTGGTCTTAGGAAGAAACTTTCAGTGATCCTTTTAGTAGGTAGGAGGAAGGAGAGAGCATCCTGACTCGGAGCTATGTTAGATTTGATATTTTTACTTACATTTACGAAATAATTGTTTAGTTCATCTGGGCTAGGATTTACACTGTTTGAAGAACGGGTTTTATTCCTTAAGTCATTTATTATAGACCAGGTTTCTTTGGAGGAGTTTTTAGCTCTTGCGATGCGATTTTTGTAATAGTTTTTCTTAGCAGATTTGGTGATTTTCCGATACAATATTCTGTAGTTGTTGATATAGTTTAATATTAGGGGATTATCTGTGTACTTTTTATGGATGGATGGAATGGATGGAATGGATGGATGGAATGGATGGATGGAATGGATGGATGGATGGATGGATGGATGGATGGATGGAATGGATGGATGGAATGGATGGATGGATGGATGGATGGATGGAATGGATGGATGGATGGAATGGATGGATGGATGGATGGAATGGATGGATGGATGGAATGGATGGATGGAATGGATGGATGGAATGGATGGATGGATGGAATGGATGGATGGATGGAATGGATGGATGGATGGAATGGATGGATGGAATGGATGGATGGATGGATGGAATGGATGGATGGATGGATGGATGGAATGGATGGATGGATGGATGGAATGGATGGATGGATGGATGGATGGATGGATGGATGGATGGATGGATGGATGGATGGATGGATGGATGGATGGAATGGATGGATGGAATGGATGGATGGATGGATGGAATGGATGGATGGAATGGATGGATGGAATGGATGGATGGAATGGATGGATGGATGGAATGGATGGATGGAATGGATGGAAGGGGAGGTCTCGAATAAAATAAAAATATAAGGGCGTTTTTCTTATTTACTTAAAATAATGATCAAACTTCACAGCATTGGTACACAATTTTTTCAAATATATTAAAATATTTGACCTTTTCTCATTTACTACGAGAAATATGCTCACGATTCTGGCAGCTCGTCTCCTCAGCTATTGCAGTAATTAATTATTTTTATTTTATTTTTAGGACATAGGACAATATGAAAATAATTAAGATGAAGAAATATTACTATTCGTTGATATGTTTTGCAAGCCTTTTTTCTTCGGGCGTTTCACACATTACAGGTAAGACTGATTTAAAGCTATTGAAATATGGATGAAATTCCAATTTGTCCAATAGAGAGAAAGTTTATTTATTTAGAATAGTTCGCCGTATTTTTAAAACAATTTTGTTTGTGGAAAAATAACGAATGATCCACAAAACTGTTACTAAAGACAGACATACAGGACATGTGACGTTGCATTGTTCCGTTATGAGGATATGAGGTATCTCGTATCGCCGCGTTCGTCTGACTCTGGCCTCTGCTTGTTTTTTTATTATTTTGGGATTGCAGGAATAATTGAGTAGAAAAAATGGTCGATGAGAGAATGTTGCATTATAAAATATACAGTATTTATTATTTTGTATAAGACATAGCCCTGCGTTCTCAGCCAACATGTCGCAACTACGATATCCCCGCTATACTCTCTGGCTGTGTGACTGACATTCGGTTCGGCTAATATTTCATCACCATAACACCATAACAGTCAGTCGACGACTGACTGTTACCATATCTGTCTTGGTTATATATCTATGATTCATATTAGCTCCATCAGAAAATGTTATTCGTAAACTAGGCAGCAACTAGTTGCAATTCGAAAAGTTGTAGAAAAATAATTGTATTGAACTCACATCATTACTGCTCGTTGAATAATATACCATTGTTTGTTTTACAGATAAAGAATATGGTCTAATGCCAGAAGTTTTTAAGGTCGATAACTATGATACTTGTATGTTATTGGAAGAAAAAGCTTTTTATTGTGAAATAAATGTTAAACTTGCTCCAATCAATCCTGAAAATCCACCGAAACTTTGGAAAATAATTAAGGTAGGTGCAAATCAAAGCCTACTAATATAGCAGTGCTCCGCAACCTTTCCTCATCTGAGGCACACCAAACTGCTCCCTAGAATTTCGTGGCACACCAAAATCTAAAATATATTTATAGCAGTGGCGTAGCTAGGTCGGGGGTCAGTTCACTCCATGTATACTAATTATTTATGGATGTCCAAACTACCTTAGTTTTTTTTATTGTTTTAAAATGTGAAGAAGCCCCTTTCAGATTTGGGGCATCAAAATTTTCACTCAGGACATAATACATATTTTTTTTAATTTTTTTTTATTATTCAGATAGAATGAAAAATACAAATAGGTACATACATGAGAACTATACTAAATACTAGGTAGGACAGGTAGGTATACTAAATTTACTTCTGTTGACACGTCAGTAGTAATAAATATTTTGACATGATGATGACTGATTAATGTGATACCTGCGCTTGCTTCGTTGAACACAAAAGTTTTATATTCGGCTCAATTTTAGACAGCGCAACTCTCATTTCTTGGTCAAGATCTTTTAAGCATGACCGTTTATCATTTTTAATTAATACAAGCGTTGAAAAACTTTGCTCACATAAATATGTTGTGGAAAACGGAAGTAGTGTGAAGATGGCCTTGTCGGTGATGCGTGGATATTCTGTCTTGATGGAAATCCAGAAAACATCTAACGGAACTTCGTCGAATTTAAGTTTTAGGGTCATATCATTACTTAATTCTGTGAACTCCTCTCGAGTTTGCAATGGCAGTGCTTCCGTGGAACTTATTGCATTGGTTGCGAAAGGATTTCGAATCCAATTGTATTGTTCCGTGTTGATAGAATGGAAATAGTATTCAAATTTTTGTTGAAGCATACTTAAATGTTGTTGGGCCAAATCCACAATCAACTGCTTGTTTTCGATCGTACTGTGGTTGGTCCTGTGATACATTTCTAGACATCCTTTTTGCAACTGTTCCTGCCAAAGTTCAAGTTTCTTTTTGAACCCTTGTAATTTATCGGAGCACGTCAATATATTTTCATTCCGTCCTTGCATTTTTTTATTAAGTTCATTCAGATGTTCGAATATATCCGCCATGTATGCAAGTTTGGCTATCCAGTATTCATCATGAAGGTGCTGGCATAGATCGTACATATCTTGACTTGAAAGAAACTCACGCACTTCGTAGCGAAGTTCAAACAGTCGAGCTAAAACTTTTCCCCGGGATAACCAACGAACTTCTGTATAAAACAGTAAGGATTCATGTTCGCTTCCCATTTCTTCACAGAGTATTCCAAAGATTCGCGAATTTAAGGCTCTCGATTTAATTATGTTTATGATCTTAATACATTCATTCATTGTGATCGAAAGCTGTTCGGGCAAATTTTTGACCATCAATGCTTCTCGATGTATGCAGCAATGTGTAATTTGTATTGACGGATTTTTTTGTTTTACACAAGATACAAAACCTTTCTTACTGCCCATCATTGCAGCAGCACCATCTGTACAAATAGCAACGCAATTGGTCCACTGAATATTATGTATTTTAAAAAAATTATCAGTTACTTGGAAAATTTGTTCACCGGTAGTTCTCTCTGGAACCTCCTTACAAAATAAATAATGTTCTTTAATAGAGTCCTCGTCAACGAAACGTACAATAGCCATCAGTTGTGCTTTATTTTTAATATCGGTTGATTCGTCGATTTGAAGCGCAAAAATTCCAGCCGAAATGATTTTTTTAATTAGTGTTCCCAAAATATCACTTGACATATCTTGGATACGTCTTTTAACAGTATCGGCCGACAAAGAAACTTTACTCACGTCCTTAACTTCGTTTGGCCCAAGCATAAGTCTAACAATTTCCATGCATGCTGGTTTAATAAGCGTTTCACCGATAGTGTGCGGTTTTTTTTGTTGTGCAATTAATTTTGCAACAAGGTAGCTTGCTTCTAATGCCTTTTCAGAAACCGTAACCGCCGATTTCATAAACTGCTTTTGTTTCTTATTTTGATCCAAGCGCTGTTGGAAAAATTGAATGTCTTTTTTGACGCAACTGGGATGATTTGTGATCAAATGACGGTTTAGTTTGCTGGGTACCATTGCTTCATTTGACAACTGTTCACCGCAAATGACGCATTCAGGCTTTGGAGCCGCTTCGTCGCCACACCAAGTGAAACCATATCGAAGGTAGTCTTGATTGTACTTCCTTTTCAGCACCTTTTTTGCTCTTTTTGCAGCACTTATGCTGGAGCTTGTGCTAGGTTCTTCGTCATCTGCTCGTGATTTCAGCAAAAATTTATCCATATTTGAAGCACTATAGTTATTTATAAAAGTAGATACTGCAACAAAACTTAGTCCAGTTCACTTATTTATAAGGCACAAGAATTTATTTATATAGCAATTCACTATTTATTTCACTCTACGATTTATTTGTTTGCCCGCGTATTTATCTGATTCACTTGACTATTCGACTCTCTCTGAGTCTCTGAGCGACGACAGGCGCGCTTATATAGGCAGTGGCGATGTTCAGGAAAACATCGAGTCGCGCCTCGAACGGCACGGATCTTTCTAGTTTAGTCGCCTTCGAGAATCAAGCCGCCGCGCCGCGCCGATAGACGGATAGACGTTTACCATCGGCGCTGTTGTCAGATTGCTTTATTTTTCGCGGGTCTCGCTACAATACGAATCTGATTCGTATTGTCTGCAAGAGCGGCACACCTCAAGTCGGCTTACGGCACACCAGTGTGCCGCGGCACACCGGTTGCGGAGCACTGTAATATAGGATATGAAGTAAGGTCGACCTTCACCCATCTGCTTACAGGATGGAAGGTATTTTTTAATAAGAAAATATGTTAATAAATATATCGCAAAAGAATTTCCTAAAAAAATACTGTCACGGCTGTATATAGATAAGGAAAGTATAGGAATCATGATAAAAGTATTCGAAATATTTGAAGAATAGTGCAATTTTCGAATTTTGAAGATAACTTAAATTTTGAGCTTAGTCGAAGCATCTGGGGAATACTTTATAGGGTGTAATTTTTTTACCTTAAGGAAAAAAAAACAGTTTTGACAGTATTTTCTTAGGCAACCCATTTGCGGTATATTTATAAACAATTTTATTTAATACATAAAAACCTTCATCCGGTAAGCAGACCTTATTTCATATCTTAGACCAGTGGTCGCCAACCTCTCAATGTGTTTGTTTTTTATTTATTTTCTAGTAGGAACTATCTAATTAGCCATTTATTTCATCAAGATCGTCTTGCAAAAGAATCTAAATTAGTTTGCAATCTTTAATTATAAAATATGTAACTACTTGATCGATGGGCATTGAGAGATTTGCAGAAAACGACCTACATCAAAATAAGCTTTAGAAAAGATTTAAAAAGCTTTAGTTAGCTTGCTTTTTGTTTCATTTCTACGTGTTGGATCAACCGGTCACTATATTTCAGACATCATCGCAGTATTATACCGAAAAAACCGTCATATTTTTTTGTAAACAGTCAGCGATAGAGTTATAAAGCAGGGTTCGCTCCAAAGCCGGACAAACTGGACATTTTTGTCCGAGGCGGCAAATCTTTTCTCTTGTCGTATGCCTCATTCAAAAAACAAGGTCTTTTAACCTGCTCCAAAGGTAGAAATCGAGACAGGTTAAAACCGGTGACCTTCAATAAAAACGAAGGGACAATTTTGATTAATTAGAATTGAAAATAGTATTGATACGATTACCACTGGTCTATATTAAAAGACCAACCTCTCAATGTGTTGAGCTACTTTGTTAATTTTGGAATAAACAGCGAGCTACCCACACGGAAGCCACGTAACGCAACGTAAATGAAATAATCCACAGTTAATTTATCATTATCTGATTTTTAAAATTATTTTTTAGGAATACAGTTCATCTGAACTGCATTACCGGCATGATAAACTTCGCCGACATATTTGTGTACCGACAACTTGTCCAAATGTGAAAACTTACAACAAAACACATCCTGATCTCATCAAAGAATTAACTCAGTGTTATAACGATAAATACAGAGATCAAGAACTTACGGGCACCGTTGAAATAGTGGACTGTAAAACAGCTGGTCCAATTTATAAAATAGATACAGTAGATTGGAGTGTTGCGTAAGTTTTTAAATATTTGTTTTAGAATATTTTTATTTTTAATAATGTTCAACAACTCAACAACAACTGCACTTTCAAAATGTCAAAAATGCCTTTGTTGATGTATTGTATATATGTTGGAAAACCTGATACATGAACAGTACTGGCTATCCTGATTGTGTCATTATTGCCAAGTGTCAATATTAAGTCTAACAAGCCAAGCTCAAGTTGTTCGTTATAATGATGAATTTTGTATTCGTTTGTGTTTGTTACTTTAAATATACTAATATATTAACTCATTTATTACTGTCACATTTAATTCAACTAACTTAACATCATCTACATCTAATTCTTTTGTTGATACTATTATACTGATAGTATCTATATCGATATACTAATATTTTTGTTTTCTCAACTAGTGTAAGCTGTTTATAAATCAATTTTTAGGCATTTTACAAATCATTTTTTTTTTATTTGTCAGAATCTCTGTTCATCTTTTGAACTGATAACTAAACATAATCTAACAACGTTTATTAAATTAAAATGTGCAATTCCAGCATCTAAAATGAATTACAAAAGCAAATTTAAAAAATTTGAACTTGACTTTCAAAAAATAAACTTATAACTAACAAGTAGAAATATAATTTCTATTGAGATATTTTTTTAATGACATTTTTTTACTCACCGCTGTTTACTACCAGACATTGGTAGATAGTTCAAAATATTATCCTTTCTTAGGAATATTGCTTGCAGCGATAATTACATTTTAAATTATTCAAATACTATTTTATTACTATACAGGATGTTACACAATTAAAATAACATTTTTAAATGGAGTTTTAGAATGTTACAGCAGTCATCAGCGCTGACTATGAATGTTTCTGAAACTGCTCTAAGCCATCAAGACTGATCATCAGTGTTGATCATCCGTCGCTTGTGTTACTATAATTTTACATTATTTCAAAATTCTTTAAAAATAATTTAATTTAACCATGATTTACATAAATTAAAATTGGAATGTTTTGATATTTCAGCATAGCGTTTCTCTCATATCTTGGATTGGTTCTAGTTCTCACCGCTTTAGATTATTTTAAAAGTTCTGATGCAGAAAGTTACAAAGTTTTTAAAGAGAGCAAAAGTAAGTAAATCAATTATTTTATTTATCAAGTCTCAATATGTTAAACATAATTCAACATAATTCATGCGATTATTATCTGTAATCGCGATTATAAGAGTTGTATTCATTAGAAACAAGAAAATACAAAACATGACAATTTTCATTTCTATTTTATAAGAATAATTTCAATAAATAATTTAAATGAATAATAACCTTAATTAGTAAAAAGTCAAACTATGGTAAATGTTCACAAAAATGATTTAATAATCAATGATCAATGTACGACAAGTACAAACTTATTATTTATATAAAATATGCAGGCACTGTAACACCCCTTTTCTTCACCCCTAAAAATAAAGAAAAGGGTTGGGATGGCGCTAGGCCGTTCTTCGAACAAGGGTTGCTCAGGCGCCAGTTTTGGTCACGCAGTCGACTCTGCGGCCCAGGGGTGCATCCTCAGCAGACTCGGTGGAGTCCAGGTACAAAAAAAAAGTAAGACCTTCACTTCTTTTTTTAATTTATTTAGTTTAAAGTCTCTTTTATGTAGATATCTGGTAGTCCATAGCTTCTACAAGAGAGAAACCCTTTCCCCGAGCTGTTATAAAGACTAGGGGCTGAAACAGCTCTGATTATCGACAGGGGGGAACAAGCGAATACCGCTATCACCCCCTGGTTAACGCGAAAATGGATGAAGAGTGCGAGTGCCCCCGGATATAAATCCAATTTACTTTATTACCCTGACAGGTACTAAGGAAATTAAAAGTACAGGTCGAATTCCTTAAGTAGACAATGGAAACATAAAATGAACGTTGCAGGGAGAATTATTTGACGGAATTTTAAAGTGCCTACCTTGATTAATTCTTCACAACGGTTTTCGGTGCACGAAATGTAAATTGCGAAAAATCGGTATCGAACAGCAAAACTACTCTGAAGCACAGTATAACGTAAATCGGTCAATAGTCAACAAAAGCCGGAATGGAAGAGAGAGCTCCCATAGAAAACGACTGCTTTTATCAAAAATCGGACTTTGGCCAGATGGGATACGCTAGTTCCTACTCCTTTGTTTATTAGTTGTTTTGCCAAAAAAAAAAAACGTTGATTGATCGGCATACTGATAAACCTACCAGAATTGAGATTTTAAGACATGATTTAATTTATGGTGATAATGAAAAGTTTTAAACTACGAGGGCTCTTGCAAAGGTTTAAAAACGGTAATTCTATGGAAATATTAGTCTCCCAAATGTTCATAGACGGAAATTAGTTTTAGAGATTAATTTAGGGAATAAATTAATGGAAATTTTAGCACATAGAACAATTTTTTGAAAAATTTCATACTTTGCTCGTTGGTTAGTAATTAATACAGATTTTCATCAAGTAAAGGCCTAAATAATTAAGAAAATTTTGATATATTCGTATTTTTATATAATAATAATAATAATAAATTGCCTTTATTTGCTTGTAATATACAATGCACATAAACATCATGAGGCGAAGTCTAGCTTGCGCTACTCAACTTAACCTCAACATAAATATAAATTTAAAATAATCAAAAGGTATCCATCATTTACAATATAAAAAAAAAAAAAATAAGAAATTTAATATACAATTAATTTATGATTAAAAATGTTAACCCTGTATTTAATCTAAACTGAAATCAATGGAACTTAAAATACAATTAAATAAGGAAAAATGTTTGAAATTAATAATATATTAACGTTAGTACTGTATTCATTGCTCAACTAATAGCAACGTTTTATAATTTTGTTTCAAAAATGTCAAAGAACATGTCCTAATTTCCCTAGGTAGACTGTTATATATTGAAATGGCGTTATATGTGAAAGATCTTTTGAAAAATGATAATCGGTAATTCGGAATCGTTAAGTTGTGTGGATATCTTAAATGTAAACTGTGCAGATCTTTCCGATATATCAATTTATTTTTTAAGTATATGGGAGTTGAGGTTAAAAGAATTTGAAATACCGTGGTCGCCATCTGATATTTAAATAAATTTCCTATATTGAGCCAGCTAAGTTCTTTAATTTTATTTGATATTCTATCATACTTTCTGATACCAAATACAAAACGACAACAACAATTTTGAATCTTTTGAAGTCTGTATTTGGTTATTTGATCCAAACAAGGATAGTAAATTAAAAGTCCATAATTTAGGATGGACAATACAAGACTTTCACAAAGCAACTTACGTAATTTGAAACTCAAAATACCTCGATTCCTGTATAATTGACGAATAACCAGATACGATTTTTTGACTAGGAGCGAAACATAGTCCTGAAACCTTAATTTGCAGTCATAAATAATGCCTAAGTTTTTGGCACTTCTACAAGATTTTAGAGGTTCATTTTGAATGAATAGCTTAAGGTTCTGTTGTACATTATGTTCTATATTTTTAGGACAAAATAATATTGTATGACATTTACAGGCATTTAGTTTAAGGTTATGATTCATAGAAAATGTATATACTGCATTTAAATCTGAATTCATGTTTTGCGAGGCTATATCTACTTCACATGGGTCAAAGGAATAATATAGTCAGCAAAAGAGTGTATATTTACATGCTCCAATAATTTATAAAGGTCTGAAATATATATGGAAAACAAAAGGGGACCAAGAACCGAGCCTTGGGGTACTCCTGATGTTACACACATAAAGTTAGATGATTTCTCTAACGTTACTTTTTGGTAGCGGTTACTTAAATAAAATTTGAAAAATCTTAGTGAGGTTTCATCGAAACCAAAATATTTGAGTTTGGCACAAAGAAGCTGATGATCTATAGTGTCAAACGCTTTAGAAAAGTCAAGCAGAGTAACTATTGTAGCTTTTCCTTCATCCATTGATCTTATAATGTTATCTGTTAAATCTAAGAGTAATGTTGTAGTACTAAACCCCTTTCGAAAACCTGATTGTTTAGTGGTTACAATATTATGAGAAAATACGTATGTATATATTTGTTTACTAATTACTTTTTCTATAATTTTGGACAACGTCGGTAAAATACTTATGGGCCGAAGGTCACTAAATGTTTCAGGCTTATTTGATTTTGGCAAAGGCTTGATTAAGGAATACTTCCAGCTATCAGGAAAGTAACCAACTTCTAAACAGCAATTTACCATGTGCGTTATGTAAGGAGCACAGACTGAAATAGAAAGTTGTAACATTTTTGCTGAGATGTTATCAATTCCTAATGCGTTTGATTTTAATTCCAAAACTATTGACCTAATTTCATTTACTGTTGCAAGTTTAAAAGAGAAATTAATACCAGGATTAAATAGATTTGAGTTATAATAAGATGTAGTGTAAGGACAACAATTTCTCTGACTGAATACCGACGTAAAATACTTGTTTATATCAGTAGGGTCACTTAAGCCATCAGAAATATGTAATGTAGTTTTATTTGAAATATTCAAGGATTTCATTGCTTTTCAAAGGTCTTTTTTGTTTTGCATGCTTGCACGATAATTTAAATAAGCTGATTTTTCTTTCCTAATTGCACTAGTAACGATATTCCGCATTTCTTTGTAATGAATGAAGTCTAATATATTTTGGGATCTTTTATATTTAGAAAGTGCTTTATCTCGTGTTTTCATTATGTCCCGGATTGTAGGTGTCAACCAATGAGCATACGGTTTAGTAATTTTGGCTTCTACATAAGGAGCATGGTTGTCAAATAATATTGTGATTAGGTTGTTAAAAATCTGTATTTTCTTTTCAATATTATTTTCATAAATAATATTTAGCCACGGCGCACTCACTAGGTCTGTGTTGAAAGCGTTGATTGAGAAATATTTATAACATCTATACGTTTTTAATATGGGAATCTTATAACTAACGTTTAAGTCAATGTCGCAGTAAACAGCACGATGATCTGATAATTGATGATCAATGACTCCTGAATTTAAAACTAAATCTGTCCTATTTGTGAAAATTACATCTAATAGTGTCTGAGAAGTCGTAGTTATACGAGTGGGCTCTGATATTAACTGTGAAAAATTATAAGATTCCATGCAATGATTTATTTGGTTATCAACCAACTGGTTTATGTTTATGTCGCCCGTGTTTAGAGTGTTTACGGTAAAAATAACACGACAAAAGTTGTATATTAAAGATTTATTTTTAACAATTTTTAGGAGGAAAATTACTTGTGGCATTTTCAATTATTAATAATTGGAAAAAATTACGATCCATTCCTTCAGGACCAGATTTCGAACGATTAAAGCCTGTTCAAGGTTTAAGGGTATACATGTCAATAATGGTGGTAATAGTACACGCAATTCTAGCCCAAGTTGCAATACCAGTTTCAAACCCAAAATTTCTCGAAGATGTAAGTATTACATATTTTGAAATGACGGTCAAAATAAGTATTTTGAAAATTATACAGGGCTTTAAAAATAATTTTATTGACAAGCTAAACATTGAAATAGAATATGATAAAAATATGTTGTGCTTACGTAACTCCTTAAACTATTAATCTTTGCATACATTTGATCTTACAATTTTTTTTTTAGATGAACGATTCTCCTGATCTCTTAAGCAATTTTCCAAAACGAGCCGTATTCATATTATCTTTCCATTTTATGATGTCTTCGTGGATGTTAATAACTTCTTTATTGGTAAAGCATGATAGGAATGAAATTATTGATTTAAAATTCATCATCAAATCGATTATAAAAAGATACGTAAGGTAAGAATGCATTAATTTTTTTAATCAAATAATGAAGATTTACCTACTAATCTATATTTAGATAATAGATTACTATTAATTAAAAGGGGTAATATATTTTAAAATATTTGTTTTGAATAAATACTCATTTATTATAAATAGAATTCTAAATATTTTCTAAACAATAGTAAATGGAAAATGGAATAAAAGAGTCGAATGAGGAGAAAATAATTTCTCCATTATGGAGCATGGGGCTTTAACAAAACCATACCAGTTACTCTTGCATTACTCTAATTATATAGAGTACGTCCTCTATTTGTTTCTTCTTTACCTTTGTCAGCTTTTCTTAGTGTTTCGCCTCACTTATTCTCACATTGTTTAGGGTCATCCTTTTTTGGTAATTCAATAATTATTTCGGTGTTTCATTATTTGGATAACTCTTAGTTCTGTTCAATTTTCCCCATACTTTTAAAAATCTTTTAATTGTTAGCAATAATTTTAAAAAATCTTCTTGGCTCTATATAACCCAATCTACAATCAAAACTGGTCTACAAACAGGCTTTGTAACAATTTTTTTAAATAGAAGATACTAAATACCTAGGTAGATATAAATTTTAACGATTTTATGACCAATCTTTTTTTGATAAAAAATTGTTTTAGGTTTATCTTGACAATTGCAGTAGTAGTTGGGTTTTATGCAACCTGGTTGAGGCATATTCCCTATGGACCTTTCTTTAGTGTATGCGAAGAGAGCGATAAATGTAGAAAAAATTGGTGGGCCAATTTTCTCTTCATACAAAACCACTATGATCGATATTATATGGTAAGTAGGTACATTAAGGGCCAATCTTTTCACCCAGTGGCGCATCCAGAGTTTAAATTTGGGGGGTAGTGACTAGGAGATTCCAATAATAACTGAATATACAGGGTGATGAATTTGAAAAACCAAAGTGAGTAATAATATAAGAGAAACGGAAAATCTGGCAACATTGCAAATATCAAACGTATCTCAAAATAGGTGTACCTCAAATTTTGTACAATTAGGACTAGAAATTTACGAGATAATTGGCCGTTTCCAGACTTTTGGATCACTCCGTATATGTTAACCCTAACCAATCTATTTCTGACTCCAGAATATCTGGTTTAAATTATGACCTAACTTTTTGTTACATCCTGTATGTAGGTATTTATTAAATATTTTAATTTTTTTTAGTGCCATATTATTACTTGGTATTTGTCTGTGGACATGCAATATTACATTATCGGATTATTTCTATTTATGATAATTTTAAGAAAAAAAATCAACATCCCAGTTACCGTTTGTTTCCTGCTAATAATCAACTTTATTTTTGCGTTTTGGGACCATTGGAGGCATGGCTATTCATCGGCCTTAAGTGGAGAACCAGAGTACGTATTTTTTTACCATTTATCATATAAATTTGTTATTAATTTTTTTCCTATTTAATATACTAATATGAAGTGAAAAGTTTGTAAAATAATTTAGTATATCTTCAATAAATACTTGACTATGACTAGACATATTCTGCGTCGATCACAGGCATTCTAACTGGTCATCTCCATATCATGGGGCTGTTAGTAGAGGGGAAATGGAGAAGCAAAAGGATCCATTGCGATGGGGCATCAAAAGGATGCGAATAAGAATATGAGACTATCGATCATATCTTCTACGCTTACCTGATGCTCCCATTTATTAAAAGATTTATGTTTAACCAGAATGGGCTAAAACCGGTCTATATAATATAAGAGAATCACCTCTTAGCGACGTTGTCAACTACAATAAATCTGTAGGCTGACTTACGAGTTAGGAGTTGCCTATCTACTTAGAAGGATGCACAATGGTCGTAGGGAGGCCTAAATGTCGCGAGTTAACCCACTCTCTCCATAGATAATGTTCAATGATTTTGCCAATAATTTTATATTTTCTATTTTTTTTTTCTAGAGAAATATACAAAGTGGTGTTTAATAAAAAGGCTCAATGGCACGACCACTTTGCTAGCTATCATGGTAACGCAGCTGGATATATAGTGGGGATTGGATTTGGATATGTATATCATAAAAATAAAGATCAAAAGATTTTCATAGGCTTGGTAAGTTAATAAAAATGTAAAAGTTACGAATCAACAATAAAAAATGTCCGTGGTTGTTTTTTTTTTGTCGGACGTGACATTTAAATGACGTTATATCTATTAGATCGTTCTGACAGTACGTTCTTTCTATATTTTCAGATCTATTCGCTCAAATATAATGTATTCATTTTTTATTAAAAAAAAAATATGATTTTCTTTAATAAAATCTATTTAAAAAAGAAAAACAACGAATGGAAGCATCAATATGAGTTTTTTATTCATTACAATAACTTTCATACATATATCATATGTTCTGGTTCATAACCTTTAAGTTTGGCAACCTAGGACATTTCGTTGACGGCGTCAAGTGACAACTAAAGTTTTATTGTGCTTTTTTGTGGTTTTTCGAGAATAATTTGAACATTGAACTGTTATGAAAGAACATTTAAGATAGTGAGGAAAATGCGAGGAAAATATTTAAAATAGGAATGTTGTGTAGTGTGTAGTCTCATTTCATAGATAAGGTATTGTTAGCACACCTGAAAGCTATAAAGTCGCCACGATCTGCTGCCCTTAAACATCCACAACACTCTTTAATAAAATCAGTTCTAGAATGTAAACGATATGCGCATATTTAGGGGAGAGTAGGGCAAATAAAATACCTTAAGATTTAAGAACGTATAACTTTGTTACTTTTAGAAATAAATAATAGATAAATTATAAGATAAAACCAACTATATTCTGCAGCTTGTCTGCAAGAGTATATTCCTCTAGTAATATTTATTAGTTAGAGCTTTTTTAATATCACATTTCTTTGTTTTTATCTTATAGATTCGTACCATATTTACAGCTGAAAAAATGCAAAATATAATATTAGATTGTTTAGCATCAAAGATTTTTATTACATTACACAAATAAAATGTTTGTTTATGGGCATGGGATTGGCGAAAGATATAATATTAAAATAAAATCATATGCACAGCTTTCAAGATGCACTCGTAATTATAACTTTACTTCGAAGAAGTTTCTTGTATATTATTTAAAATAAATCAACGTTTCTTCATATAAAATTTCAAAATATCAAGATGTAGGCTACCAGTTTAACATTTTGGAAAAATATGTTGCCTAACCTAGTAGTAATTGCATCAAAATGGCCGCGCCCTATGTTAGGCGTGTCGGAAGTCTCTCTTGCACCGTATAGTAATCATGTTATGATGTAGTTACAAATTTAAAAAGTTTTTACTACTTATAAACTGCTCTGATATTAAATAATTTTATTGTACTCATCTTAACAAATGTTTAAAGTATATTATTTTGAAATAATTTTTTATTTTAGAAGAAGAAGCTAGCCTGGACTATTTTGTCTGTATGCTTACTAGGAGCAACAATAGTTGTCCCACAAATAATAGATGTTGATGCAACAAATACATTATCAGCTCTGTGGGTAGCACTAACAAGGCCATTGTTTTCATTGGGAATGGGCATTTTTGTTTTAGGTTTATCAGAAGGTCTAGGAGGTGAGAAATTATTTTTTGTATTATAACCACAAAGAAGGGTAAACAGAACAAAGTGGGTCAAAGTGTGGGAAAATGTCATTGTAGTTGCGTCTTGATAGGAATATACCAAATAAGAGGGCGATTTACCATTCCTACATTTATTTCTTGGGAAGATAGAATTGGAAGACAGCCTTAGCCACAAAAGGGGCTCAATAGATATTTTAGGTGGTAGTGTATTAATATCCCATACATAACATATAACGTAACATCTTGGGGTGTGTTAAATATTCAATTTAGGACTTTAAGGGTGCGTGGTAGGGGGGTTAAAGTGGAATGATCTTCTCGAAAAGAGTCTAGCAATTATATAGCACCCAACCGTTCAGTTGATTATTTGTTTGTTTCGTCTAGAAATCAAAATAGACGGAAATTTGGCTTTTATAGCGATTTGTATATGTAATTTATTTTATTCGTTCGAATTTTATAAATCTCAAATAAACAATATAAGCCTGACCAGGCCTGTTCTTAAAGCAAACGAATTCTATACCCTTAATTATATCTGCCAAGCCAAACGTCATAACTTTCGTTTTGATTAATTTGGCAGAAATAACCATGACTACTTTCGATTATCTTCATTTTATTTTCTATTTCTTATTGAACAACTTTTTATAAATTATTTTAGGTTGGGTAAAAGATTGTTTGAGCTGGTCCCCTCTGTATGTTCTTGGGAAATTATCTTATTGTGTTTATCTCTGCCATACAGTATTTCAAACTCTCAGAATTGGTTTTATGAGATCTCCAGGATATATCAGCTATTATACTATGGTAAGTAGGAGGCACATTAAAAGGGTAAATTTCGCAATAAAGTTTACTTGTCAGTGTCGTTTCATAGAATAAGTAATTTTAAATAGTAACCAGCGGAACCGGACAATCGCATGTATTTATGGATTATAAATAATTATTAAACATGTATTATATCCAAATCATAATTTTTCAAAATTTCAACAGCTATTCACAATTTATTAAACTATTTACTCGAAATTGTTAATAATATCTATAAAATAATTTTGTACGCCAATGTATATTTATGTATATGAAGTGGGAAAATTGGCAAAAGCCTTTTTAACCTCTGCCCCTGCTATACATATAAAAATATTCTTTAGACCTAATAAAATAATATGCTATTATGTTTCAGCTTGATACTTCTGCCTCTGATGTGTTACTGGCTTTCGTAGGAGCTCTGTTTTTGTCACTATTTTTCGAAATGCCTTCGAATGAATTGGCCAACAATATGTTCGGGACAAAGAAGATAGAAAAGAAAATTGAAAAGAAAACCAACTAAAATATTGTCTATATTAGACAACTTGTTAAACTTGATTATTTAATAAATAACTTTGTTTATTCTAAAAATTATTTTGTATTATTCTAAGCTCGTGAATAATAAAAAGAATTGAAAGGGATTTTAAATGGTTCCATTTCTAATACATCACAAATTATTAGATTTATTTTGAAAGTATTAAACAGGGTCTGATAAATGATCTGTTCTTGTCTTGTCTTATTTAATTATTTACAGGTTTCGTAGTTCTATAAACAGTAAAAAGTGTAATATTATAAAATATATTTATTGTCCTCAAATTACACACAAAAATCTGATGTGTCCAACACATGACTTTCCTATCTAGTTATTACAGGCTTTTTCCGTTTATTGTGTACAACCTATTGCAGCATCTCTATAAATGTTTAGAGGATAAACTAAATATATACATTGTCCACATACATCTACCGCGAAACATTTTTCTATAGATATTCATTGAAAATGAAAATACTGAAAAATTTAAATTTAGCACTTTTCCTACAATTTTTCCATTACGGTCCATTTAAAAAAAATCATGTATGAACAAATATTATAGAGATCGATATCGCAAACAACTTTTATTTCAACAATTTTCATAAAAATCAGAATTTTGCACATTTTGTCAAATTTCTCGAATACGGACCATTTCAGGAAATTTTTACATAAGGCAAAAATTATAGATAATAATATTAGAAGTAACTTTTATTTGAACAATTTTCTTCTCCAAAAATAAATAACAGATATATTCCATAAAATATAAAAACGGCCTCCCATAAAGTACCCCCCCAGATGTTCCGACTTTGTCCAAAATCTAATCATTTCACGTCAGGCCGAAATAAAACTTAAGTTTAAAATTTATTGATTTTTTCTTTATCCGTTTTTGAGTTTTCTTCAAATTTCGAAATTTACACATTTTCTCAAATATCTCGAATACGGTCCATTTTAGAGAAATTATCTATGGAACAAAAATTATAGAGAATTATATTACAAACAACTTTTGTTTGAACAATTTTTATAAAAAAAAATATTTTTTTACATTTTGTCAAATTTCTCGAATACGGACCATTTTAGGAAAATTTTGTAAATAACAAAAATTATAGATAATAAAATAAGAAGTAACTTTTATTTAAAAAATTTTCTTCCCCAAACGTAAATAACAGATATATTCCATAAAATATAAAAATGACCACCTATAAAGTACCCCCCCAGATGTTCCGACTCTGCCCAAAATCTAATCAGCTCATTAGACGCTGGAATAAAGCTTAAGTTTGAAATTTGGTGTTTTTCCGTGTATCGGTTCATGAGTTATGCGTTATACAGACACACACACACACACACAGACACACACACACACACACACAGACATCATCGCGAAAATAGTCAAAACGGATTCAGGGGACCTCAAAACGTAAAAATCCGTCGAAAACTCGAGGTCGAAAAAAATCATGATTCCTATACTTTCCTTATATCTGTATACAGATAGGAAAGTAAAAAAGCCACAACCATTTTGCTTTAGTTCATCTACAGCAGAGATTCTTAAACTTTTTTGGTGACAGAACCTTTTTGAACAGCGAAATATTGCAAATTTGCAAATCTTGCAAAAAGTGCAATTTTTTCTAAAATGTTTTATTTTTCCACAATGTATGTTAAGAATATTGTGTCAAACAGGTTATGTAGGTATAATGGTTTAAACTTTGACTTTTAAACAACGTTACGTTCATAAATAATAATTTTAATATAAAAACTACTTCTTACCTACAAATCCAAATCAGAATCGAAATCAGAAGATGAACTGTCGCAACCAATATTTACAATGAGTGGCTCGATCATTTCATCAGTAATATTGTCCAACTTCCACATTTTCTCTTCTTCTTTAATCGTATGATTTACTGCCTTTTCCCAGTTTTCAAGCTTCACATTATTTACAGCCTCCAAAAACAACTGTTTAACATCACTCATTTTAAAAGAATTATTTTTTCTTGAAACTTCTTCCTTTATCTGTGCCCATATCAGTTATCGGGTTTAATTCGCAATGATATGGTGGTGATCTAACCACCGTCATCCCACGATTTTTTGCAATTTCATCAATTTCATATTTTTTGAATTTCTCTTTATGAAGGGAATACAAATGATACAGTTATTATCTCACAGAACCGGGATGGAACTTAATATTCTTTGAATTTAGCCAATTCTGTAAATCTTTTTTTAACCATTTGGTTGCGGGCAATTTTTTTATAAGTCTCGAGTGATAACTTGCATTATCCATTACTATTATACAGTTCTGAGGAAGATCTATAATTTGTTCGAACCACTCTTTAAAGATATCAGTATTCATGTCCTCATGCTAGTCACCGGTACGAGTAGATTCAAAAGTCAATAAACCACCTTTAACAAAACCGTTTGAACTACCGATGTGTACTATTATTAGTCTGCGCCCCTTTTCTGATGGTGGATTTAAACCAGTAGATAAATTATTTAAAAAAGCCTGTCTTCGACTTGTAATAGTTTCATCTTGCCAAAATTTATTTGGTTTATGTCCCTCGTTGATCCATGTTTCATCTAAATAAAATATATTTCTTCTTTGATTTCTCATTTCTTTTATAGTCCTTAGGTAATTTCTTCTCCATAATACAATATCGCTTCTTTCTATTAAAATAGACTTTCTGGAATACTTTTTCCATAGAAAACCTATTTCTTTTAAAAGTTTCCATAGTGTGCTTCGACTCATTTCAGGGTAATCCTTATCATTTTGAACCGTGGCAAGAACTTTCTCTACTGTCGGAAATTCTTTTCTAAAGAAGAACGCATGTACTTCCCTTCGAAGTCTTTCTTTCAAAAGATTTTCTAATTGAAATTTTGGTTTTCCTGGAGCTTTACGTGCTGTTTGAAACTCGCCACGTTTCTCTTCTTTAACAACTCTGTAAATCGTGTAGATTTCCCAACACCAAGCATACTACTAACTAATTCCACTGTGTCATCAACACTTTTACATAAATGTTTGTCTGTAAATTATTTAAAACAATTAAATATTAATGTTTTTTCATTAACTGTTAAAGGACCGATTTTTTGTCGTTTACGCGGCCCTTCCAAATTTTCCATGATAACACTAGAATTCACACCGCACCTTGCAAGTTGCAACTAAACGACATTTAGTAAACTGTCAAGAATACACAACTTGGACCTCCTTACTAAATAGAAAACCTATAATCGCATTTTCGGTGAAATTTGTTGGGAAGGTATTTATCTACTTATAATTCGATTACTGTAAGAAATTCTTGGAATTAAAATAAAACAAAATTGGCAAATAGGTACTTATTGAAAATAATCTTAAGATACGGCTATGTAATCTTTAATACACAGGGCTTTTGGCCTGTCCAAACCTTTTTCTATTGTTCTGCACAGCTTATGTTTATAAAGGACCAATAAAAGACCCAAAACTTGTAATAGCTCAGGTACATTTATTACAATTTTAGGAAATATTTAGATTATTCTGTAAAAATATTTAAAATGACCGTACTAAGTTTTGCATTAGAAATGCTGTTTTATTACTCTCTCATACATAAAAATAGACTATAACAGATTCTTACGATAAGTATATATCCCAGTAGGTACCTGTGGCCCTAATTTAACCTTGTTAAACAATTGGCAGATTGCCTATCGATATATATCTACAAATACGCGGTGTTGACAAATCTCCACCAGACCAATTTAATTGAGAACATAAAATAAAAGTATGATTGCGTATATTATTTTGCTGAACGACTTTTGCGATATAATGGACACAATATCGAGGTTATCGAAAACTAGAAGTGTTGTGGCATCCTTAGATATCTTAATAAATTTTATTTTATTTGCATAAAGTGAATAATCGTTTTCTTATTAAGAAAACATTACAATTAATACCACTAGAAGATAGAAGACAAATATATGATATAAAGATTATTTACAAAATCTATAATAATTTGATTGACTCTATTTCAATCTTAAACATGAATTCATTTAATGTTCCAGGTCACAACACTAGAAATCAAATTTTATTTGATTTAAGTTCAAGCAAAACTAATTATTATCATATGAATTCTCCTACAGTTAGGTGATGTAAATCATATAGCTCATCAAACCTACTAAATCCTGATATTTTTTCTTGTTCCTTGTCATCTTTAAAAAAAATTCTTTTTAGTCCATACAATTTAAATACTTGTGTACTATTTATTATTTATTTATTAAAATTTTTGTATCTAATGTTAAGCTAATAGAAAATACTGTTCCAGGGTTTGTCCTGTTTTGTATTCTTTATAAATATGAAACTATTACAATTTTATGTTAAAATATAAATAACAAAATAAATCAACAATGATGAATTCACCTTAACTTAAATAAATAATTAGATAGTACCTGCTTAGATGTTTTATTCCTTATAAGTCTAACACAGTTACGTAATTTCATCCAAGACAATGTCATTGGCACTACAAAAAAAATAGTGGTGGATAATATCATAGATTTTGTTCTAGTACTAGTTTACAACGACATTCTTTATTATAAAGTATGTTGTTAAACTAGGTTGCAAATGCAATAAAAATGTTAGAAATATTTATTTTTATGCTAAACGTTTTTGTTTGTTTCGGAATTTCAGGTAAAGAAAAATTATTATTTCTTGTAATTTTAAAAATAATTATCTTTTACTATAAATTTTTGTGTAATATTTAATTCTACTTTTGGTACTGTAAAATTTGACAATAGTGGATATATGGATAGGTATATTTTTTTTATACAGACAAAATTTTTAAATTAATTATTTATTTCATAAATTTTGTTCCAAAAAATTATGTGGCATATCAGTTAAGGGCGGCTTCTGTTTATCTGGACAATTTTGGGATTTTTTACAAAATCCTAAAAGTTGTCATACTCAAAGTCCTTTTCTTCCATTGGCGTAGAATTTTTAAAAGGTGCAATTATTTAAAAAATCAAGTTCTACGCCTATGTATTATTATC